TTTTATTTTACAAAATAATGCTCAATGTACACAAAGGATAGAGCATTATTAAATTAATTGATTTAAAATATGTTTTTTCACTAAAAGTTCTAACCATGTTTCAAAAAATAAAGCTAAAATTTTTATTATATATATATATATATATATATATATATATATGTATATAAGCAGTTATAATTATTTGTCAGAAAAGCAAGATTTTGACAAATAAACAAAATAAAAAATATAAAAAATTAAAAACAAGTAAAAAAATCAATGTGCTTCTTTTTGCGGCCTAAATAAAACGTTGGTGTAATATTTGATTTTACTGGACGTTGGTTGGAACGTCGAACTGAACCTTTTTTTCGCTCGCTCGTTGGGGGTAGACTGTTCTAGTTCCATTTGTCAGTTATAAGTTATCTCCTGTTACTTCCGAGTATTGAACTCACATTCCTTGGGTCTTGTCACTGGATTTAACTAACGCCTTTATCCACTGTGCTATTTGTCCTTAAGGAAGTCTGTGTATGAATTTTTGGGATTTAATGTCTTCAGCAACCATTTTTACCAGTGCTCATGTTACAGTTTTTGCTGTTATCATTGATTTGTTTTTTACCAGAGCTCATATTGCAATTTTTCGTTGTTATTATTGCTTTTCTCTGGCACTCCTTATTACTGGTTCCCCATGTTGTATTCATTTCTATGCTTAGTCAGTTCAGGGGATTTTTTGAGCCATGAAGAAGGCCGGATACAACGATTATGATAAATATGGCAACAAAGATGAGGACAATAGTCCGAATAATGTAAAATAAATAATACCTCATCTCAAATATAGACAGATACTGAAGGGCCGAAACGTTTAATAAATAATTAACAAAGATGAGGACAATAGTCCGAATAATGTAAATAGTGTACATAATACCTCATCTCAGAAAATAGACAGATACTGAAGGGGAAACGTTGTAATAAATATGGCCACAAAGATGGGGACAATAGTCCGAATAATGTAAATAATTATAATAATACCTCATCTCAGAAATATTGACTGTGGGGCCGAAACGTTTGTAATAAATATGGCCACAAAGATGGGGACAATAGTCCGAATAATGTAAATAGTGTGCATAATACCTCATCTCAGAAAAATATAGACAGATACTGAAGGGCCGAAACGTTGTAATAAATATGGCCACAAAGATGAGGACAATAGTCGAATAATGTAAATAGTGTACATAATACCTCATCTCAGAAATATTTTGAATGCTGAAGGGCCGAAACGTTTGTAATAAATATGGCAACAAAGATAGGGACAATAGTCCGAATAATGTAAATAGTGTACATAATACCTCATCTCAGAAATATGAAGACCAGATACTGAAAGGCCGAAACGTTGTAATAAAATGGCCACAAAGATGGGACAATAGTCCGAATAATGTAAATAGTGTACATAATACCTCATCTCAGAAATATAGACAGATACTGAAGGGCCGAAACGTTTGTAATAAATATGGCAACAAAGATGGGGACAATAGTCCGAATAATGTAAATTGTGTACATAATAATACCTCATCTCAGAAATATAGACAGATACTGAAAGGCCGAAACGTTGTAATAAATATGGCCACAAAAGATGAGGACAATAGTCCGAATAATGTAAATAGTGTACATAATACCTCATCTCAGAAATACAGACAGATACTGAAGGGCCGAAACGTTGTAATAAATATGGCAACAAAGATGAGGACAATAGTCCGAATAATGTAAATAGTGTACATAATGCCTCATCTCGGAATTACAGACAAATATACATGCAAGAGATTTGCGAATATTGAACTCTTTGGGGGGGAATCTGTTATGTGAGATCCAAGATATTTGAAGTCCTCAACTCTTTTGATGGATGTATTATTGAGTGACTTCAACTCGGATGGATCATTATTTTCTCCTCAAGTCATATGTTCTATCCATAACTGTTGAAAGTTTTTCAATTGTCCAACCCTGCATATATATATATATATATATATATATATATATATATATATATATATATATATATATATAATTACATGAATCATTCAAAAAACAAATATAGAAGTTAATGATTTAAATGGAATATAAACAATTTTAATCATTTTTTTGTATGAATGATTCATGTAATTAATATATATATATATATATATATATATATATATATAGGTGGCGTTATACATTTCATGCTAGAGTTTTGAGGATTTGAGTCTTTTGAAGGAATCTATTTGAGATCCAAGATTTGAAGTCCTCAACCCTTTGGATAGATGTATTATTGAGTGACTTCAAATCGGATTGTTCAGTGGAGTTTGTGATAGTGATTGGATGGCTTAGAAGGTTGAAAATGATAGGGCACCCAGTGAGGATCGAACTCACTACTCAGTCGTAACTGATCCAGCAAGACAAGCTTTCTAAACCATTACACTACATCGAGGTGCCCCTGTGGAGGTAATGATATATTCTGCCTTCGGTTGCGACAGAGACCAACCTGGTTCGCCGCTTGCTCAAATGATTACAGCAAGGATTCTTCATCCTTGACACATTGAGAAATTAATGCAAGATCATCGGCAAAGTCAAGTTTAGTCAGGTATTGCGGAGCGTACCGAATATTCTGGCGAGGTTTCAAAAGGAGTGCGTTTTCCTCCACGTTATCGAGGAAAATACACAGAACATACAAATGCTCTTTATGGAGAACTGGAGACCAATCTCTCTTAAACTCGAACAAAAGCGATTATTGTTTGCCGGCCAATGCCACCGAAAGGACAAAGAAATCGTCCCATCCTTACTCCTGTGGCATCCTTCTGGAGGTTTCTTCTCACGAAAATTGATTTTTCCAGAGGCACCATAGCTCGGGTTTCAGGGTTGGACATAAGGGATCTGCGCTCGGCGATGCAGGACCGAGCAGTGTGGAAAAGGATTGTTGAAGAGGTCTCGCCTAACCCCACGGAGGTCGAAGGATGATAATGAAGATGATAATTGATGATAAAGTAACTATTATTGATCTTTCCAGTGTTGAAGGGGATTCCCTTCCTAACATTTCGTTTGAAATAGAATGGAAGGTCACATCTCGATTATGTCATTATTTTTCCCTCAAGTTGTTCTATCCACTTTAATTGTTGCGGCTGTTGAAAGTCTTCAATTGCCCAACACCTTGGTCAAGTGATTGCAGCAAGGATTCTGCATCTTTGATACATTGAGAAATTAATGCAAGGTCATCGGCAAAGTCAAGCTCAGTCATTTTTGTTTTCTTGTCGAGAGAAATACATAGAACTTAGTCCAGAACACATACTTTTCTTAATACTTTGCTTAACTTTGAGAAGGCATCTTTTGCTATTCCAATGCTGCTTCGGATCTCAGTGCCGCATTTTCCGTTCTCTTCTACAATATTCCTTCATATATTTAAATTGCTGTACTTGTTTGATTTTCGTATTACCAATCTGAAATTTGCATGCTGAGCTGTTCCTTCCGCTGAGCACCATGCATTCTGTCTTCTTGCAATTGATAGTTAGTCCTTTCTTCTCGCTTTCCTTCACTACCTTCTGTAGGATTTCTTTCAGTTTCCTTTCAGCTATCAACTCTATGTCATCCGCATCGGTTATGATTTTGACCACCAATAAAATATCACTTCTAATTCTCTCAGAATCGCGCCATTGTATCGGTTGAATAAGTCCGGCGAGAAGGCACATCCTTGTCTTACAGAAGATTTCTTCTTTTTTGTGACATATTTCCTTGACTTCCGTAGTAGTCTTTACTTTCCTGTTTTGGCGTTGTTCATCCAAATTTGTTAAGCAGGTTATAGCCATTCTTATTTGATTCTCTTGTCCTACCATATCCTGACAGCATGAGATACTCTAAGTTCTAATTTCTCTTTCCAGTAATTTCCAACCTTTTTTTTCTGAAGTATTTAAAATATATTTATGTTCTAACAGATATATTAAATAATTCATTTCTTTCTAGTTCCTGCTGTTATACTCTGTTTCAAATTAGATCTATTTCGGATTCAGTCTGCATGTCGACATGAACGCAGGAGGTTAGGAGCTTCTCCAATTTGCTTTTAAGGAAGCCCTTCATGAACGACTTCGACAAGCAATGACAATATCGCTGCGGACAGGCCAGCTGCCGACGACCGACAGGCTCAAGACGTTACTAACCGAGACCTCGGTCAACCGACCCGACATATATATCCACTCGAGACTACCCTTCCTACGAATGGTCAAACCTTTCCCAGATAGAGACCTCCCGCTCGCATCCACTGTATCAGAAAAGACACGGCGAACGGCAAGCTTTACAAATCTTATTTCGAGGTTGCCGCCTCGGTCAACATAACCGATAATTACATCAACTCCCTGCCTTAACAATTATACCGTTCTTTCAAAAGCCGCCTCCCTTGCCCACATTATATACATTCTGCTCGCATCCTTTGTATCAGCAATACAAAGAATTTTATATTGATAATTAAACTTCCTCGTTGCACACAAGTTCTGCCCCTTCTATTCTCAGCTATTATCAGAAAAAAACTAAATAAAACAAATATTAAATGATTATATGTAAGGTCATCGATGAATTTATCTCAGATTTTAAAAAAATTTTCCTCGGATTAAAAAGGCACTGAGTGGTGGGTCCGTATTTACTTATTTAATTACGTCCGGGCTAGTTATAAATTCCATGAAGATAGGATTTGATAGATTGATTTGTTATTTATGGCTTATCAACCTTTTGCAGGTTAATTAAAGCCAGAAAATATTTTCAGATTTTAATAATTTTTTGAAGACAATAATGTTTTACTGATACAAGCCCTACTAAATTAACCCATACCTGGAGGGAAAGAGGTGTCTTCATACCTTTGCCAGCTATTTACCCATAGCTGGAGGGAGAAGAAAGGGATTCATACCTTTCCCAAGGGTATTAGCACGTAAGTGAATGTAATGGATTGGACTGAAATTCGACCTCCGCTCTCCGATTTCCACTTCCGAACCGTTTTCTATACCACCCGCACAACCAAGCTTACCGCACCTGATATTCACAATCGGTCACCCATCTAGGTATTGATCAGGCTTGACATTGCTTAACTTCAGGGATCTTACAAGAATAGGTGTTTCAACGTGATACGGCCATAAGCCCGGGGCCGATTTCCTTGCACAGCGTCTCAAGCTAACGTTTTTTTCTGGATTTAAATCATAAAACTTTTTTTTTTACCAACGGAACATTTTTACTCTAAAATTTTGGGGACGTGCTTCCATAATCATTTGATGAAAAGAACGTTTTGAAATTTTATTATAGAAATGATAAATTTACATGCTTCATTATTATTTCTATAATAAAAATACAAAACTTATCTATTAGTAAAAAAAAATAAGCATATTTTCATATAAATGTATATGCTTCTTAGGAAGGACGTTGGAGTAATGCATAGCGGATTGAGGAATCGGAGAGCCGAGTTCGAATTCCAGTCGAATCCATTACATTCACTTACGTGCTAATACCCTTGGAAAAGGTATGAATTCTTTCTTCTTCCTCCAACTATGGCTAAATAGCAGGATAGACCGGGTTCTATAGCATTGGATGGCAACTAGTCTACCGAAGAAATAAATAGCAACCTACTGCGGGAAAATAATCTGCCTCGTCAGTCATGTATCAAAAGATACATGATCACCAAAGCGTGTATCACGCATGGCACATAGCTGACTAGGAGGCACGGATTGAGGAAGCGGAGAGCTGAGTTCGAATTTCAGTCGAATCCATTACATTCACTTACGCGCTAATACCCTTGGGAAAAGGTATGAATCCTCTTCTTCTCCTCCCCCAGCTTTGGGTAAATAGCAGCACAAACCGGGTTTAATAGCCTTGGATGGCAACTGGTCTACCACGGAAAGAAATGGCAACCTACTGCAGGAAAAAATCTGCCTCGTCATCATGTATCAAAAGATACATGATCGCCTACGCGTGTATCATGCATGGCACATAAATGACTTTAAGAGGTACTGTGAAGTAATTGATATTGACTAGAATTGAGGCATCTGAGATTCGAATTCCAGTCGAATCCATTACATTCACTTACGTGCTAATACCCTTGGGAAAATGTATGAATCCTTTTCTTCTTCTTAAATAGAAGGACAGACCAGGTTCTATAGCATTGGCTGGCAACTGGTATACCGCAGAAAAAAATGGGAAAAATCTGCCTCGTCAGTCATGTATCGAAAGATACATGATCGCCTAAGCGTGTATCACACATGGCACATAACTGACTGACTAATATGTTTTATTTTGAAGTAAAACTAATTTAATGAAAATAAACTTGTACTTAACAACTAAATCCTATGGAACATTTATGTACACTAGTGAAATAACTTATAATAAACCATTTTAAAATATGTGAGTAATTAATAAATTAAAAATGTGAAGATTTATTCAATGTGGTTGGTGCTGCTCTAAGAGTATTTTTTTTATATTCGGCTCCATTGATGTAAGTGATAGTCGAAGATCACCCTTTTTCACAATGTCGAGTCTATTACTATATTTATTTATATAAATAAATATTTTATTAACATTTAAAATTAATATTATTATTTACTAGCAGCATGGCCCGGCGTTGCCCGTGCTTGATTCAAAAATCGTACGACTCATACAGCAATCGCTATCACTTGACTTAAAATATTTTTGCCCTTCCTTACCTTTAAAGGAGTGCCCTTTGCCGTGCTGATGTTGCTATATGCCTTACTTCTTGCCTATCTCACACTGCGAATTTTTTCTAAGCTCTATACTAAACATTAAATCTGTTACGAAAAAGAACTAAACAAAATGAACACAAAACGATCAGCTTTAAAAAAAGGACTCGTAACTGGAAAAACCGAATGAAAAAAGAATGTTAACAACAAATACTTTTTCACACCCAACCCAGTTCTGCGGAATCAGAATCAACGTTGAGTTTAAGCAAGCGAATGAGCCAATTGGAGTAAAGTGCCATGCAGATTTAAATTTTTCCCACTGGTGACGAATGCAGCTATCGATTTTTTCCATGCTAGGTAACATTTGTGTCAGTCAGCTGTTGGCTCTCACGCTGTCCAATAGAATCTTCCTGCCTATTCGTGGCAGCCAGCTATAGGCTCTCACTCTAGCCAGTAGAAAATGGCTGCAAACTACATGAAAACTGCCGTAGAGGCATGAAAAAATCGATTATTTCCACTATCGATGTGAGTTGGGAAATGCAACGTCGGTCTTGGCCTTCCCACTAACTTGGAGCATGTGCATGTAAATTTTGGTGCAAATCCGTCGAAAATTGCGGCCGTGCATTCGTTACACACACACACACACACATCCTCCCTTTTATAGATAGAGATTAGTAATATATTAAATTAATTTATATAATAAATCATAATCTTTATATAATCCTTTCTTTCTAAGCCTTTTCGGTTTTTATTCAACTTTTACAACCAAAAAGGGTAAAGTTAAATGGACGGTATTCTGCTACTTTTAGAGAATTGTTTTTCTATTTTTGGTATTTTAATATGGCGGTGATTAGTGTAGAAATTTCAATTCTCAATTGTAACAACTTCTTCCGAAGTGAAATTACCCTACGTACTAAAATATGACCTCCCGACTAGTTTGCTATATTTTTGTGTGGAATCCCACTAATGTTACTATGGACCCCCGGGGATCCATAGTAACTCCGGTTGTGAAGCTCTGATTTAAATGAAGTAATCTGGTGAGAGGGAAAACTTTTCTTTAACAGATCCCATCTTCTCGTTAATATTCTGCTTGTGAAATAGTTACACATAATAAAACCATCGTTTCTTAGTGAACCAAAAAAAAAGCCTTTGTCCTTCTCCGTTTTTAGAAACGAAGTTATTTGAGTTGATCTTGGGTTCTTCTCAGCCTGTCGATCGCTCTGCCTGTTCTTCCGTCTGTGAATCCCCTCCGTCTGTGAATACAGAGCTTTATTTGTTACTATTGCTATTTCGATTTTGCGCAGACGTGCTCTTCCGGTCGTAAGTGTATTTAAAGGTTTTTTATTTCGATCTAAGGCCAAACGGTTGCTTTGTCTTACTTTCGCTATTGTTCTCTTCCTCTCTCTCTCTCTCTCTCTCTCCCCACTCCGATATAATAATTCTTTCTTTCTTTTTTCTACCTTTTTTTAAAATCTTTTTTTCTTTTTCGCTCTCATATTTGATATGTTTTGTCAGCTCCGATGCGGTATTTTCCCCAAATTTTTCTTTCCGTTTTGCTTTCCACTTTTTTTTTCTTCTTTTTTTCTTCTCCTCCTCCTTCTTCTTCTTCTTCTTCTTCTTCTTCTTCTTCTTCTTCTTCTTCTTCTTCCTATATCCCTGTTCTATGTCACGAGCATCTTTCTTCTTCTTCTTCTTCTTCTTCTTCTTCTTCTTCTTCTTCTTCTTCTTCTTCTTCCCATTTTATTTTCAATTCTATTCTCTTTACATTTACGTCTACTACTTCTTCTTCTTCCTCTTCTTCTTTTTCTAATTCTTCTCCTCCCCTCCTCCTCCTCCTCCTCCTTCTTCCTCTTCTAATTTTTCTCCTCCTTCGCTTTCTCCTCCTACTCCTTCTTTCAATTCTCTCCCTTCTCCCCTTCTCCCCTCCTCCTTCTTCCAATTCTCCTCCTCCTCCTTCTCCCAATTTTTCTTCCCCTCCTCCTCCTTCTTCTTTCAATTCTCTTTCTCCCACCACTCCTCCTCCTCCTTCCTCTTCCTCCTCTTCTTCTTCTTCTTCTTCTTCTTCTTCTTCTTCTTCTTCCAATTCTTCTTTTCCTCCTCCACCTCCTCCTTCTGCTTCTTCTTCTTCTTCTTCTACTTCTTCTTCTTCTTCTTCTGCTTCTTCTTCTTCTTCCAATTCTTCTCTTCCTCCTCCACCTCCTCCTTCTGCTTCTTCCTTTTCTTCTTCTTCTTTGCATTTAATTTATTCCCTAGTTTGATTCCACCTCTTTTATCTACCCACCTCTTTATATTCCTTCTTTTCCGCTTTTTTCTTTTCTTCTTTTTTTTTCCCCTCCTTTTATAAAAACCATCTTTATATAGGGACATTTCATTTTCCCATCATTCTACAATGACGTTTTATTCACTTCGGCATTTTCTACATTCATATTCGAACTTATTTCTGCATACATATATAGGTGGAGTAATGGATAACGGCTCGGATTGAGGGATCAAAGAACCGAATTCCAGTCAAATCCATTACATTCACTTATGTGCTAATACCCTTGGGAAAGGTATGAATTCTCTTCTTATTATTTGCATTCAATTTATTCCCTAGTTTGGGCCCATCTCTTTTATTTACCCACCTCTTCTCCCTCCAGCTATGGGTAAATAGCAGAAACAGTTCGGGATCTGTAGCCTTGGATGGCAACTGGTATACCGCACAAAGAAATGGCGATCTACTGTGGGAAAAAAATCTGCCTCGTCAGCCGTGTATCAAAAGATACATGATCGCCTAAGCGTGTATCACGCGTGGCACATAACTGACTACGAGGCATGGATTGTGGAATCAGAGAGCCGAGTTCGAATTCCAGTCGAATCCATTACATTCACTTAGGTGCTAATACCCTTGGGAAAAGTATGAATCCTCTTTTTCTCCCTGCAGCTATGGGTAAATTATCTGGACAGACCAGATTCTGTAGTCTTGGATGGCTGGTCTACCGCAGAAAGAAATAGCAACCTAAAACATTTGCCTCGTCAGACATGTATCGAAAGATAGATGATCGCCTAAGTGTGTATTACGCATGGCACATAACAGACTTTTAGAAGGTTCAGATTGAGGAATCGGAGTGCCATGTTCTAATTCGAGTCGAATCCATTACATTCACTTATGTACTAATACCCTTGGGAAAGGCTTGAATCCTCATCTTCTCTCCCCAGCTATGGGTAAAAAGCACGACAGACTGGATGGCAACTTGTGTACCGCAGAAAGAAATGGCAACCTACTGCGGGAAAAAATCTGTCTCATCAGTCATGTATCGAAAGATAGATGATCGCCTAAGCGTGTATCACGCATGGTACATAATTAACTGACCTTTATAGGGTACGAAGCAAAATAAAAATAAATTAATTAAATATTGCCCAATGCCGTTCGTCCACAAAAAAAAACAGCCTTCCTGTAAAATCAGCATTG